TCATACCCTTTTCTTAGAACGTGGAAAAATGGGCAAGCAAGATTGTCGATCAGATCAGCACACTGGACAAGCGATATCAAATGGCCATGAATCAAAGCTACCAAGACCTTGCTGACGAAACCTTCAAAGGACTGCGCCGTGCCCTGCCCTTGACCAGAAACAAATTGGACTGGAACCAAATCCTCAACTACAAGATTGGTAACGAATTGGCTCAGAAATAAAAATTTGTGCTGCCATGAAAAAAGGGCTCTCGGTTTTTTTCTACTTTTTTTTTATTATTATTATCAGTTCTATTTTTCGTATTGACAAAAAACAATGACAGCCACCAATCAACAACCCAATCATCTCGACACTATGATACTGTGTGTTGAACGGGCCCTGACATATGTGTGCAACTATGCTACCTTGGCAAAGGACACCCTCGTTCATCTCTGGCAAATGTAAAAAAAAAAAAAAAATCTTTGAAAAAGATAGGAAGCTCAACGCTCAGCGTAATGGCATTTCTAGTGACGAATTTCGAGTGTTGGTATACTTGTTTTTAGCCTTCTCAATAGTGCCGGTAGGGCTGTTCTTGATGTTCTGTGCGATGGTGATCTCTGTCTTGGCCATTGGCAGCAGCATTTTGGGCGGCATAATGGCGACGCTGGCCTTTTTACTTCTCGTACCTTTTTTGATTGGCGCTTTGGTTGCCGCTGGCTTTTTGGTGCTGGTCTATCGAGCCTCGCTGTATTTTCTGACGCCCAGCAAAGAACAATGGATGCTAGGACAAAAAAGTTAAAAAGGGCTGGTCCCCTTGATAAAGGGTTCAGGCTCTTTTTTTTTTTTTCTGCCTCCTAAAGTGTGTCATCGTTCTTTTTTTTTTTTCGTTGATAAACAAAATAGGTCAACCCAGCCCATTTGATATTTTTTTATTTGTATTCCATTGTTCGAATGGAAAGGCATTGTTCCAATAGAAACAACTTTATTAAAATAGCCTGTTTTGGTCACCCACACGTTATTGACAAATAAAAATAAAAAAAAAATATATACAACACACGCCTTTTTGATGGAGGAGAAGAAAACGTGGTGATCAGGAGAGAGGAAAACGCCCACTCTTATCATTCATTAAAATGATGAAAACGGTTAGAGATGAAAGCTGAATTGATCAATTGTTTGGATGTGGGCTATTGATCATCTCTATGTAACAACAGGCATGATGATCGATACTAACCCTCGATTTGTTTTGGCGGGTGCAACCTCAAAAGTTGATCTGAAAACCCACGTTTGCCCCACATGATGAAATCTTTTTCCCAAACAAATACCTTGACTGGCTTGCTCCGCTTTTTTTCTTTCTTTCTCTCTTTTCCAATACCTTCTTTTTCTTTTTGGAAGGCAAAACATGGCGATGGAAAACCCTAGTTTACACCATCACGCTATCTATCGATCCAAGAGTACAGGCACCATGCAACATGTCTCTCGTCGGCTGAGCTCAGGCTCTGCCTGTGAAACTTGTCGTCGTCGAAAAACCAAATGCGATGGCGGTCAACCTTGTGCTTTCTGTGCTACCAACCGCATCGACTGTGTTCATCGCCCAAGTCGACGGAAACGTGCCACTCCTTACCCAACAAACAGCATCCTCTTCACCTCCTCCACACCTTCATCTCCTTGTGTGCCTCCCTCCAGCTCCACCTCGCCCGATCGCTGGTCTTCCTGCTCTCCTCTCACCAAACACTCCAGTTTTCCCTCCTTACTCTCCGCCACCCAACCTCCCATTCCAAGCTTGACTGGTAAACATTCCTCTCGCCACAGCCCTTGATGTGTTGACACCTCTTTTTTTTTTTAGACCAATTATCATGCCGGACCTTCTCTGTTGTCTCACTTGCCGATCATAAAAAAACCTTTGCTGCTTCACCCTATTGATTCCTGCCTGTACTTTTTATATCCTCTCTTTCCGCTGTCCTCTCGTTTTCTTTACCTATGCCATCGCCTCTATGCTGATTCCCTATGTTATACCTCTATGCTCTTTTATAAAGAATAAACCCTCTTACTTGCCATCTCCATGAAAAAAAAAAATGCCACTGCCTCGTGCCACTCTTGCTCGTCTCTCCGTGCTCCACATTGACAGATAATCAATCTACTGAGATTTACAGGGACATCTTATTGATCGACCATCTTTTTCCAAAAAACCACTTTGCCGACCTCGCCCGCCAAAAAGATCCACGTTCTCGGTTGACGAGTTCCTGCACGCAATCTCGAGCCCTCTCGCGTTTCTTGGGCTTTGACTCCCCCTTTTTTTTAAAAAAAAAAAAATCACAGCATATCCCCAAACCCCCATTGCCAAAAATAAACAAACGCCTTCATGGACTTGGTGTCATCAAAAAAGTGAGCGTGGCGAACAAGCTGACCACGATCCTTGGCTGTTGAAACCCCGTCTCGTCGCACAAAAAAGAGGCGCATCTGCGGCCGTGTTTTTTCTTATTCCACTTTTTATTTTATCCAGCATGAGCCCACAGGTTGTATGGCACGGCCCATTGACCTTGATCAAAGGTAACCCTCAACATGAGAGAAACTACCTAAGCATCTCATATCTCTGTCTTATAGATACCCATTGGCAAGTCCCAGTAAATCAAAGTATATGTTTATTTGTTGCTGCCTATGTTCTTTTGTTGCTGACCTTCCTCTTTTTTAATAGACCTCATTCTGTGCGATCAAACAACGACATCATCCGAATACCATATATTCAATGTCATCTATGAAATGAAATCAATTATACCTCTCTACACTGTCAAGCTCTACACATTAGCCTCTCACGCCTTCAAAGGGTAATGGAAAAGATGTCGCCTCAAAAAAAAAAATAACATCCTCTTCTTTTTCGTCCTAGATCCACTCAATCCCAACCGCTTTTAGATTACCTGTCCATGATCTATCAACCTGTCAACTGTTTCCAACAACCAAAATACGCCCTGCTGCTGACAATGACCCGTAACGACAAGAACGTCGACCCGTTTTCTCAGATTCAATACCCACTAGCTTCCACCGTCCACCTGCTACTCTATGCTCAAAGGACCACCGACAACACCCTGCAGACCTTTGCCTCTGTTATCCGTGACCGGCTCGATTACACTGGATTGGACGCACCCTGCCTGTCTTTCCATCAGCCCTCCACCCTCGAAAAACACTTGCGCCGGTGCCAGCAGCTCAAAGCCCTGCAGGACCAGCGCCGCCGTGACCGCCCCGAGCGCACTCTTATCTATACCAAACGGAGAATCGTCCCAAAAAAGGCGCCCTCCTCCTCCTCCCTCCTTCCACCCATCTCGCGCCAAACCTCCTCTTCCTCCCTCCCTCCCTCCTCTTCCTCCTCCAACTTGTTTGACACCAACAAGAAGAATCTCAAAACTATCCTGTGGTCCCGTCTACGACAGCTTGACTATGACAGCAAGCATGATGATACCAAGCTTTACTATCATACCATCTATCAAAGCATTCAATACATCCTGGTAAGCACCCCCTCCCTTCCTGAGCGAGCACGAGTTAAGAAACAGAAGCAATACCCATCTCATCTTTTTTTTTTTCATGCAGAGGAATACCTTTAAAACAGAAATGGTATCGCACGATGTCTTGGAACAGTTCATCGAGCGCCATCTTACCTTCTATGCCGCGTGTGAAGAGCACACACAGCAGCTCGGATCAGATCAATAAACTACTTTTTTTTTTTCCCCGCATCATAAGCCGTCAAACACCATGTTCTCTGCTAAAACCAAAAAAGGCAATCAGGCAATTTTTTCCCCGAATTTGGCCCCTTATTTTTTTTTTTTGGAGCTGTTGCCTGAGAATCTCATTAGGCAAAACTGCTTTGACCGAGCTTGAAAAAGTGCTGCTTAGGCACTTGGACACATTGAACAAGCATTTCAGAATGTGATTCTTGGCAACAAAGTACTGTAAATGACACCCTGACAACCTCGCAACCAGGCTAATTGGATGCCCAAGGCCCAGACACGCTCACATCACCTCGTTTGATTATTGGTTACGACTATTTCAAGTTTGGTTACTCGGAGCTGTCTAATAACCCTATTGATGGGAATGAAAAATAGATTAAACTACAAAAAAAAAAAAACCGCTCTAAACGCCAGTCGGTTTTCAACCTCTCACATATTAGCAAGGCATCTCAATTTCCTGTAAATCGATGCACTTAATTCCACTTTTACTATTGTTTCATATGGCATCATGTTAAAAGCATTGTTCCCCAGTCTCTCTCATTTCATGATGAACTGCATCATGACTGGTTGTCACAGGTAAAAAGTCAAGCCTGGCTATGTGTAATTTCCTTTTTTGGTAACCCATTTTTTCTTGATTTTGTGTCATGGCAGATGGAGGAGGCCAAGGTCAAACAAACATTGCCCATCCACATTCTGAATGAGAGAGAGACCAAAAACAAGCATGTAATTTTCTAAAATTCGGAATGGATTCCGGAAGGGATTATGCGTCAAGTACTCAAGTTGACGATTTATAGGGAAATCGGACATTGAAACAAAAGAAATGGTGAATGAGCGGAGAGGACGAATGATCTGAGTTGCGCCAGTCAGTGAGTGATACTTTTTTTTTCAAGGTTTGGCCGGAATTTTCCTACCCCGCCGACAACTCCGAAACACATTCTCATGTGTTTGCTGAATGATGATGCGTTACTGTTGCGCCACAATGCAAGCTACCGGAGGCCATAAAAGAAGTAGAGTCCAACCAAACCAAGGAAAGTCCTTGCCCATTGCTTTTCGGCCATTCCGCCGTCAAAACTATGTTTTGTAGCACCTTCCGCATTCGGTGCTGCTCACTCCTGATCAAAATAAGCTTTCTACCCCAACGCCCAACCCCCAATTCTTATTTTTGATGGTTGTTTATCGCAAAAGTAGCATTCCTTCTCGCTTCTCATTCAAAACGACCGACAAAATTAGCAGAAACGCAGCAAAAAAAAAAAAAAAAATCCGTGGAAAAATTGTGACTTTGAAAGAACAAACCCATCAACAACAGCAAGTTTGGCCGAGTGGTTTAAGGCGCTAGCTTCAGGTGCTAGTATCTCCGGATGCGTGAGTTCGAATCTCACAGCTTGCAATATCTTTTTGCCTTTCTTCAGGGCAACTTATTTTTGCTTCCTTCAGTGGTATGCATTCTTTTTTTTTTTTTTTTTGTATGTAGCATCTTGCTGGAGACGGTCAGGGAATGTGTAAAGTAATAAAAAGTCAACGTTGGTTGAAAGGATGCAAGCAAGCGGAAGGCTCCTACTATTCTCATTGTGAGTCTTCTGAGCTATTTTTTTTTTTTATTGTTTCTCTCTCGCCTCAGCCTCCAGGTCTCCACAAATGAGTGTTGGTGTATACAGATGTTTTTTATTTGGAAAGCAAACGAGTAGATATGAATGTTGTAAAAGTACAGTGCACGATGCCCACTTAATCTTTGTAGGTGTCCATGAACTTCTTGTGGAAGCCTTTGAGGTCGGCACAGAACTTATCAAACAGGTGTTCTTCAGGCAGGAAGGTGGAGCGGAAATGCCAGGTGCCGGGTTCTTGACCAAAGCCAGAACCTGTGAAGGAAAAAAAAAAAAAAGTCCAGGTCAGCCATTTTTTCATTCACCAATTTTTTTTTTTTTTTTTGATTGAGAACAGAAAAGGCTTACCAGGGATGACACAAACACCGGTGGCTTCCAACATGGCCATACAGTAAAAGGTATCGGGAGCCATGCTCTTTTCCTTGGCAGCGTCAACGGCCTTTTGAGGGATCTTCAGTTGAGGGAAGAGGTACATGGCACCTTCGGCTTCGTTACAGGTCATGTTTTCCATCGAGTTGAAGCATTGGGCGAGCTTGTTGGAACGGCGAATCAGAGATTGGTAAATGCTGTCGATTTCACCTTGATACTTTTCAAAGGATTCGTCGCCTTGCTTGGGGGGGTTGGTCATGAGGTCGACCATGATTTGGCCCTGGACGTTGGGGCACAGCGATACCGAGGCGATCTTGTACAGCTGATCCATGACCTTGGGGTCGATGTTGACGCATTCCAGGTAGCCACCACGACGGCCACATTCGCCGATCATGCCCTTGGAGATGGAGTGGAAGGAGAAAAGTTCTTGGTCGTTATACTTTTCGCCCATGGATTGGAGAACCTTTTTGAAGCTGTGGAAGGGGCGGCTTTGGGCTTGTAGATGTTGGTTTGGTAGACTTCGTCGGCGAGCAGGACGAGGCGTTCGTTGTGACAAAAGTCGATGATTTCGCGCATGTTTTCTTCGGACAGGCATTGGCCGGTGGGGTTGCCAGGGTTGATGATGACCAAGGCGCGGACGTCGGTGCCGTCAGCACGGGCCTTGTGGACAGCTTCCTTGAGTTCGTCTACGTTCAGTCCCCAGTTATGGGATTCTTCGAGGTAATAGGGAACAGGAGTGGCACCGACCAGGGACAGGGTAGCTGAGTACAGAGGATATTGTGGGATGGGGATCATGAAGCCGGACTTGCTGTTTTGGGTGAGGATCTGGATGACGGTTTGGACACCAGAGGAGGCACCTTGGGTCAAGAAGATGTTTTCGGGTTCGGCAGGGAAGCCATCGCGACGTTCGATGAACTTGGCGACGTTTTCGCGAATGTGATGAATACCTTTGGAGTGAGAGTAAGCACCAACACTTCCAATGTGCTTCAGCAGGACTTCGGCACGAGCAATAGCATCGGCAGGATACAACTTGAGCAAAGCTTCACGGTTGGATGGCGTCAGTAGTTCAGGGTTCTCCGCCAGCGAGGCTACCTATGCTCCCAAAGGCAGATGAAAAAAAAAACGATGAGCTTCATTGTTCCCTTGTGCATCCCTCTATTACCTGACGGAAAAAGGTGATTGGCTTTTGGTTGAGTTGTTGGGGGTTGCCGATGTTGCAGAACACGACTTTGTCAAAGCCTTTGGTCTTGTCGGTCAAAAGTTCCTATACAAAAGCGTTTAAATCCAGGAATGGAATTGATTGTCTGCTAGTACCTTTTGCAAAGCTTCAGCACGGATGGGAAGAGCACCACGAACAGCATATTCCATTTGACGAACCAAAGGATGCATGGTCTCAGTGGTCAACACCTTGGCTTGAAACAAAAAAAAAAAATAAGATGGACGTCCTGAATGGCTGTCAGAATAAAAGCTACTTACAGTGAGGCTTTGAGGAAGCATAACGCAAAGACAATGTCAATGGGCGTTGACGAGCTTGAACAAGAGAACGAACAGCAGTTTGGATCATTGCAGACAATGGGAAAAGGTTGGAAAAAGAAGAGAAAAAAAAAAAATAAGGCTTGCGGGCTGAAAAAGAAGGGAAAAATCGCGGGGGTTTCCTTTTCGGCCATCTTTATGTTTTGCCAAAAGCAGCCATCTTCTTAAATTTCTTAAAAAACGCCCCATTTCATTATTTTAATGGTTCCTGCCATTCATCCAGAAGAAGCTAAAAAAGAACACCACAAAAGTTTTTTGTTGATCACTGCAAACTGTTTCAAGTTTTTCCATTCTCCCGTTGGACCAACATGCATTCCTGTGCATCCATTGGCTGGAATCGTGGGAAACTGTGTTCCTTCCTCGGCGAGCAGGAGTTTTCCCGCTGTCAAAAAAAAAAAAAAATTTAAACAGGCTTTGCCACCCTTATTCAAGTCACTCATTCATTTGAAAACCGAAGCGTCTTGTTCGGGACGTGGAGCTTCGCAAAGCTGCCTGGCTATACATACCATTTAATTTATCTTGACCGTCTATTTTTCATTCCACTTCTTTTCTATCATTCTCTGATCCCTTTTAAAATGATGATGCTAAGCCTAGCCCTCTTTTCATTATTGCGTCTCACCGCGATGCATCCTCATACAAAAATGATAGGTAACAAGACGAGGCTATTGATCTCCATGTGTCTTTCAGTGTGGTGGCTTCTTGGACTTTGCCTCCCAGAAGATGATAGGAGATGGGCTGTCAGTGTGGTGACTAGATTCTCGTCGACGAGGAATAACATGCGGTGGCAAGTTGAGATCAGGATAAACGGCTTCGTTTTGTGCATGGAAGAGGGCATCTTTGATCGTGGTGACGCGCGTAACGTTGTGTGATGGCATTATAAGAAGTAGCGAAGAGAAAGAAATATTAGGAAAAGGTGTTAAAAAAATCAAGTAAGCTTTTCTCTCTTCCCATCCCGCCATTTTTTTTGCCAAAAACAGAAAAATGATTTTATTGGTCAATCCCAGGCTGATTGAACTTCGTATCCGTGAATTTTCTGAACCTCCTCGTTTATTTAATTCCCGGCCTCTTCTTTTGTCTTTTTTTTTTTTTGTTTTTTCTGTTTCTTTTCATTCATTTGTCCCATGGGTATTCCAACTATATATTTTTTTTTATTAAAACGAAGGCGTTTGGTTACTAATAAATGGAAGCTGCAGACTGTTTCCTTTTCTGCTGCGCAAGGATCGGGTCACAATGGGAGCGGCTGTGGCTGACTTGGTGGGAGGCTTTCTCTTGGTTGCAGCTCTTTGACGTTTGGGCGGTGCCTTTATGAGACACGGGGGTATGGGCTCAGGGGTAGCAGTTGAGGTGGAGGTGGAAGAAGACGATGATGAAGGCGTAGGAGGAGGACAGTGTGTTGGTTGGGCTGTTTCCTTAGCCTGTGATTCCATGCGTTCCAGGACGCGCCACTGACGTAGCACACTGTTGTCAGTGCGGCCAGGTAGGAATTGGGAAGGAAGGGACCATTTGCAGCCGTGCTCTGCCACGAGTTTGACAAGCAGAGCGTTTCCTTCCTCGGAAAACGGCCCAAACTTCAGGTTGTCCTCCAGCACATTCACCCCGCGCTCACGGCATTGCATATCGATGCGGTCTGGGATGGCGCTGAACCTTGGTCCAATGGCCAATGTAATACACAGCCACGGCACCACGAAGTGCATCGTCTTCTTCCTTGTTCCAGGGCGAGCAGCGGATGGTTGGGTTGATGGATTTGAGCCAGCGGTGAAGGCATTGTTGCCCAGATCGGTCACCCACGAGCGTGGCTATTTCCTGCCAGTCACGGTCGCCCATCACATTGACGGCCTTTGTCCATTTCTTGCGCGCCGAGCGAGTGTTGAATTTGGCCTGATAGTGCGAGAAGCATTGGCTGGCAGTGCGCTCGGTATTGAGTTCCGACGCGATGTGTGCCCATTGGCCATGGTAGCCGTGCTTCTTGGCCAGCTCTGCCAACTTATCGACCTCCGTAGTTTTTTCTTTTACTTCTTCTTCTCACATCTCCTTCAACATTGGTCTCCGAGGTCTCGCTCCAAGTGCATGACAGGGGCCAGACAACGTATCAATCTCATATGATCATGCCAGATTCACCCACCAAAAAAAAAAAAAAAACGCTCAAAACGGGTTATGGGCTCACAAACAGAACTGGTTCAAATTCCCCCGCTTCTTTTTTAAGTTGGTTGATCTCTCTTCTTCGCTACTGTTCAGCTCTTCATCCTCCCATTATGCGCTTGAAAGACAGCTAATGATTGGTAAAGGCTGATGATACTCGACAGGATGGTTGGCCCATGAATTCTGACGTGTGCTAGTTCTTTTTTTTTTGGGCACGGGTGACCGCAGTTAGCTGATTGGGTGGCTGGCAGGGCCAGGTTTTTTTTTTTCTTGTGTCGCGGGCGCGTTTACTTTTTTTTTTTTTTTTTCCTTGCTCATTTTTTTTTCTCTTCTTTCTTTTTCAAACTATTCATTAACTCTAAGATGGTGACTACGGTAAAGCATGAAACGACAGCGTGCTCCATGCAGTAGCGGGGGTATTCACCTTGTTCTTGATTTGTTTTCTTTGTTCAGGGATCCTCTCGTCGCTCGGCTCGAAACAAGTCGATTCCCAACCAATTCATCAATCAAGAAAGTGAGTGAGCAAAAGACTGATCAATGCAATATATAATAGGTAGGAATCTAATGTATTTATGTTTCATTTGTTACACTAGGTGCACGAAAGCGTCAGTCAGAGCGACAAGACAACAGTGACGATGATTCATCTGTCGAGAGTGACCAGGACGAACTCGAAGATTCCGACCATGAGTTCAATCTTCCTGCTCCCAGCCAATCCCTCATAGACAAACCAAGCACGTCATCGACC